CCATTTCACTATTGTCTATTTCGTGCCATATTAACATAATTTGGGGATAGGGATGAGGGTTGTTTTAGTCAGCATTCAATTTCTTCTTTGTATTCTGGGAAAACAAGAAATTTCAGATCAACATCTATCAATACTAAGGTACTTTAATAAAAATGTCCTACAATTTTTGACAGTAATATCTAATAACAGAATACTGATACTGCATACCACAAATGATGGCATGCAAAACTAGGTCAGTAATAAAAGAGCTCTCATGATTGACAATTCTGTTATTGCTGCTTCAGTCTAAACGTTTGTGTTCTTCCCAAATTCATATGTTTAAACAGCATGAAGAGATAGTAGTAGGAGTTGAGGTGATCAGAGAGTGATTAGGTCTTCAGACAGAGCCTTCATGAATAAGATTGACATCCTTACAAAAGAAGCCTTCTAGGGCCTCTCATCTCTCTGCCTATAGGGAACATGGCAAAAATCTCTATGAACCTTCATGAATAGGTTTAGCATCATTATAAAAGAGACCTTCATCCTTTGTGCTACTGGAGGACACTGCAAGAAGACACCATTCATGAACCAGGAATCAGGTCCTAAGTAGTCACTGAAACTTCCAGTGTCTTGATCTGGAACTGTGAGAAATGAATGTCCATTGTTTATAAGCCAGAGAGAGAGAGAGACAGAGACAGAGACAGACAGAGACAGACAGATGGAGAAAGAGGGCATGGTGATGGTGAATATAATTGAAGGACATAATGTACATATGTGGAAATGTCATGACAAAATCTCTTACAGAGTACAATGTACACCAATTGAAAAGGAAATAAGCGCCATGGGTGATTACTATACAGAGCCAGTGTTGAGAACATTGACAGACAAAAATGGAAGAGTTCTCCAAAAGAGAACTCAAAACTGAAGTGGATAAGGTATTTACATCCAAATATTTTGGAGTACTAACTAAAGATACAGATTGCTAAGATTCATCCAACAATTACAACAGAAACTCTGCAAGTACAGCCTACACATTTGCATTTTAAAGAACTTCTAAATAATTTTAATACAGTTTAAGAACTAGTCATTCGAAACTAGGGTAGGAGTAACAAGGGGAGCTAAGAAGACAAATTGGGAAACCATAGTGTCACAAAAAAACTAAGAGAAGAATGTTTCACAGAAGGAGGGGTCAGTTCTGATCAAAGTTGAGGAAAGTTCAAATAACTGCTCATATACAGCAACAGAGTTTATGGTGATTCGATAAACACAGTCAATCTCAGTGAAAACAGGAGATAGGCAATTTTGAGTGGGTTTAAGAATGAGTCATAGGCTAAGGGTATAGCCAGCCCACTGTGGAGCTATTGCCTAGCATCCCCAAGGCTCTGGGTTCAATTCCAGCACTGAATAAAAAGAAATGTATGGTAGGGAAGTATAGACAACATACTGTAAAGGATACTCTTTTAAGAGATTTGAGTTTGAAAGAAAGGAAAAAAATGGATAAAGTGCTTGAAATATCATGGAAGTTTCATGGTTCTTTAGAAATGGGAGGCACTAACACATGTTTTTGTGCTAAAGGCAACAATGCAGGTTCAAAAGTAAAAATATTAAGATTTGCGAAGAATAATCACCTAAAAGAAAAAAAGGGACATACTTAGACATGATCATTTTATATCTATGCCTTTAGTAATATATTATCTTTTATTGTGACGATATTGAACAATCTGATAGGTATAATGAATGAGAGGTAGTGGGAAGATGAGCACATTCACAATGAAGCTTAAGCCAAAGTCATCAACTGAGAGAATTGGGCCAAATCTGAAGAAAGATTATATCTTACTTCATAAGCACACTGGGATAGCATTTTACTCAAAATCAAATATGTTGTAAGAACTATTTTAAACTTATTTCTTTGGTAAGGAAGATAATCAATACCCTTTGGCATATTGCAACTATCTCTTTTGCCTTATGGAGAAAACCTATGATTTCGACAAAACAACTGAATTTAAACAGATAACACTTGTTTATTATGGAAGTTTGGTATGTACTTACAAGTTATCCAGTGGCTGAAAGATGTACATTTTGATCTGAAATAAGATATAATTTTTCACAGCAAATACGTTGGTGCCACATGTTTAATATATCCAAAGTCAGAAACCTTCTTTGTATGAGGTACCATAATATAGACAAATCTACACAATTCCCATTTTGCCTGCTCGATTCTAATGTGGCATTATAGCTACATAGAAAGGGAATGCACACAATTTCACAGCTAGTAAACAAATTTGGTAACAAAGGCTTTGTTCTACTGTAAAGCCTGTGCTTTGAAAACTATGATGGAAAAAGCCTTCATAATATTAAGACAAAAAAGATCAAATAGACAAAATTATAAGTAAAAGAGGGAACATAACAATGAAATAAGCAAATGCAAAAACAGATTATAAGAGACTGCTACAAACAATTACATACCAACAAATTTTATACCCATGAAGAGATGGATAAATCCCTAAAAATATGCGACCTTCCAAGACTGAATAAGAAATATAAACAGACCAATAAAGAAAAAAGGAGACTGAATCAATAACCAAAAAAGTCAAAAAAACTACAAGACCAAATAAGTTTGCTGGTGAACTCTGTCAAACATTTAGTTACCACAAATTCCTATCTAATATTAAAAAAATTTAACATAATTTAAAAAAAGCTTCAATCTTATATTCATTCCTGATAAATATAGATGCACAAATCCACAATAAAATACTAGCAAACTGATTTCAATAGCACAGTTAAGATCACACATGACAAAGTATGCATTATCTATGAGATGTAAGGATGGATGGTTACACAAATCAATGTGATAGCAAAAAAAAAAAAAAGAACGTTACACCACATTAAGAGAATGAAGGATAAAAATATGATTCTCTTCATGTATGCAGAGAAACCATTTGATAAAATTAAATATTAGCAAATCAGGTATATAAAGGAACGTACCTCAACAAAATAAAGACAATATAGAAAAGGCCAGAGTTAACATCATATCTATAGTGAAAAGTTGAAAGTTTTTCCTCTAAGATACAAAATCAGATCGATTGTCACCACTGCTTTTCTACAGTGTTAGAAGTTCTAGAGAGAGTTATTAGGTAAAACAAAGAAAAAGCATGCCAAAAAGAAAAGAAGGAAAACTGTATTTGCTGATGGCATTATCTAATATGTACAAACCCCTAAAGTTTCCACCAAAACAAATCCCTGTTAGAACTTGTATGTAAATGCAATAAAGTTGGGGAGGACAAAAAAAAACATGAAAATAAGGTATGTCTATACACTAACAACAAGTATTTGTAAAACAAATAAGCAAAACTCCATTTATAACAGTATCAAAATAAATCTAATAAAATATTTGGAAATAAAGTGATAAAAGATCTGAAGACTAAAATTTATGAAAGAAATTGTAGACACAAATAAATGGAAGAATAACCTGCTTTCATTAACTGAAAAAATTAATATAGTTAAAATGGCTATAATATACAAAGTGTTACATGACATTTTTGTGGAATTGGACAAAGCAATCCTGAAATTCATATGAAACCACAAAAAAAAAAAACCATAACTGTCAAAGTAATCTTGAGCAAAAGTAATAAGCTGGAGGCATCACACACTATGGGACTTCAAAACGTACTTCACAAATTGTGAAAAACCGATTTCTGTCAAAAGTGCAAGAACGTGGCAGTGGAGAAAACATAGCCTTTTTAATAAACAGTGTTATAAAAATAGATTATGCACATATAGAAGAATCAAACTTGTCCCTTATCTCATTCTCTGCATAAAAACCAACTCAAAATGTATTAAAGCCTTAAAAGTAAGACCCAAAATAATAAAACTAAAAACTTTAACTCTAATTTTCCAATGCAGTAAGACATTAAGAATTTCTTTTACTAAAGCAATTAGAGTCTGACATTAAACAAATACACACAAACATACTACTGTAAAAATTCTAAGTCCTTTAAAAATCTTAAGTACAGAGTTTTTCATGTTTTAAAACAGAACAGAAAATTTTATACCTTAAGGTTTTTGATAGTTTTCAAAACATCAATTTCAGAAGATATGTGGACATTTTCACATTATTCTAATATCCACTAATGCATTTGTCCTTTGCAATATTCTGGACACTGGGATAGAGCCTGAGAATGAATTTCTGGAAAGTCCATGTGGGATATCAAAATTACTCAAGAAGAAAATAGGCTCACTACAATTAAAGAAATAACAATTAAAGACATGTCTAAATAGCATTATCTAAAAATAGTATCAAAATTCTGTGATCAACTTAGAATAGCTCTCAAACACATTATACCAAATAGTTTCTTTAGTATTTCTTCAATCTGAGAGTATAGTGCAAATAACTATAAAGTAGGAGTTTTATTATCTTTACTAACATTTACTTGAATGACTCACTATTTTAGTCAATCAAAATTGTTAAGAAATAATACTTGTTTTACTAAAGTACTACATTAAAAAATAGAGTTCCGTGAAGATGAAAGGTTAAGGGCAAGTCAATCATGTATCTAGCACTAAAATTTCTAGCAAAAATAATTACATTTGACTTAGCCTAAACTTTGTTCTATATAAAGATTTCTTCTACCTTTGAGATATAGTTTATTTTATAAGACACTGACATTATATGAGATTTTAAAGCACTGTTTAAAAAAGAAAACTTTACTGAAATAAAGGGAATAAAAAGACAAACTAGACTCTTAAAACTTCATTTTTCTGAGATGGAGGTCTCACTATGTCTCAGGTTGGCCTCGAACATCTTAGGTCAAGCAATCCTCCTGCCTCAGCCTCAATTTTGGGTGTGCACCACCAGACCCAACTAAAGCAACTTACTTTGACTATCCGCTCAAGGTTGGACTATTTTTCCACACTGTAACTATATGTGTTATCAAATACTGAAAAAATAATGCTATTATAGTAGCATTAAATAACGCTATGATAGTAGTGAGAGAGATGATAGAAAGGAAGAAAAGAAATTCCAGACAAATTTTTTTCATTCAATTTTATCCACAGTTTGCATCGGTAATATACATTTAGTGGTCCATTTATTTTTAAATGCATCAGAAAATCAGTTATGATAGGTCTGTGCCTAATACAAACATTTCTGAATTCTTCAAAAAATGCAGTTAGAAAATTCATTAAACTAGCATTCTATAAAGATAATTATTAAACAAATGGTTATGCGTTTTACTCACTTTAATTCTAACATATCCAACATCACTGCTTTCTTGTGCCACACAATCATGGAATACCTATCTAGTGAATTTATTAGGACCCAACAAAATAGTTTAGTTTGATTATTCAACCATCATCATATCACAAACCCATTCAAATAATGAAAATTATTCTTAATTCAATGAGCAATGGAGTAATACAGAGTAACTATAAAGCTATTTAGAATAAAATTTACACTTAAAAACTGCTAAATGAAATACACTAGAGCCTTGGTATAATGTTGCCTTTGTAGATTATGCTGTTGAAGCTGCTTAGACATGGTTTTGCCTTTAGGTATAATACTAAACGAACTATCAAGGTATGGATCTCAGATGGTTCCACTTTCAATGCGATTCTGATTTACTGTAAAGAATGGACAGTGAAATTCTGCTTCATTTTCTTTGTACAGTAATAGTTAACCAGCAGGTGTAATGCAATAAGGTAATGATCAAGTTTCATTACCATTTCAATAATGAAGCACAAAAACCTGAAAAATAACAAATGCTAGATTAAGAAGAATTTTATAGCACAATAACTATGAAAGAAGTACGAATGATTGTTGTGATTTTTAAAAGTTACTTGATTTGTGATGCTCTTAAATTTCTAAATTTAAAACTGGATAACTAAGGTACTCACTAGGAATTGCTTAACTATATTTATAAAAATTTTTACTAGGGATGTTAATTGTATCAATAAGGGTTTTCCCCCTTCTAAGGCTTAGATCCAACTGAAAATTTACAAGTATTTAGCTCAAATATTTAAAGTAATAAATTATTAATAATTTAATTTTTAAACTTTACAGTCATAAGAAGCTTTGATCCTTTACAAGCTCTGATTTGATCCATGGGGAATGAAAAAACACATCAATATTATAAAGCCAAAATTTAGTTATATGGCTTCTTGCCAGCAGACCAAAAAAAGTAGAGTTGTCTCCTAAACCAACGTTTACTACACCATTTGGCACACTACTTTTTTACCTTGTATATATATCCTTTAAAATACCAAGGCCAGCATTTTTAATAAGTTGCATCCATATTAAGAGGTAATAAGTGCAAATAATCACATATTTAAAATATGATACTTGTTTGGCTACTACAAAAGTAATTATTAAGGTTCATCTATAGGAAACAGTTATTTGTTATAGTGATATTTTGGAAAAAGTTCCTGCACTACTACCAACATAAATTTATCCATCTCTAAATCAAACAAGGACTTTACGTAACATACAAGTTCATGGAAATATTTCTGGAATGGATTGTTTTTAACATCAAGTCAATTGAGCATCACAAGATGTGCAATAGCTACAAATGGCCAAACTAAATAAAATCCTATTCCTCAATTGCTGCTGAGTACAGCTAAAAGCAGCACTTGATGTAATGTTCCTGAAATTCAAGATATAAATCCAAACTTTGGCAGCTTTATCAAAATGTCCTTGATCATTAGTACTTCACTAGTTTTCAAATTCTTGTGTAACATTTTTTCAATACAGAAATAAAATACTCTCAAATAATACATTTTAAAAGATGATTAATTTTTGTGAAATTAAATAGCATAAATTAAGCATATTAACATTTTGACAACATGAAATAACCAATTTAAGGAAAACAGCAAGTTATTAACTAAAAATTGACAAATGTCACAGTGTGAGGCACATTTAAAATCCTCACATACTACTGACCTTACAAAATTCACTGAAATATTTTAAAATCCCATTGATTCTATTAATACATAAAAAGAAAATGCAAAAATGCTTAAGACTATATAAGATTCATCAATTACACAGGCACTTCACATGTAAACAATCTACAGTACAACTGAAAATATTTTGGCACAAACCTATAGTACTAAAAGAATTTAATATCAGAGTTGTTTTGTCTACTCATTTTTTCTAGAAAACTAAGACCAAGGATTGAAGAAATAATATATAAACTAGAAGTGTATTGAATAACTCAAATATAGGACTGTTCAAGTTGCTAAAAAATTGATTATATTTATCCAGATGTGTCCTAGTAGGTTATGATATAAAAACAATTAAGCCTAATCATATTTTAAGTTCGGTATTAATCTGCTTTTTGAAAAATAATTAGTTATTAACAGTAAAAGGAGAAAATTTGTCAAAACTCTTATTAAATTGAACCTGTTTTTTCCTAAAAGAAGTTTGGGCTATTTAAAGTATAAGTTTGATGTATGAATGTAATTTTGTTAAAAACCTAAGGCTTGACCTAAGGCAAATTATTTTTGACTGGATTCTCTTCATGAATTAAAGATATCTGAAATCACTTCAAAGAAATGAAAGTATACACTTCCGATTTTAAAAAGGTTATATCAGGCCATAGAAAGTTGAGATGTCTTGGTTGTAGGTAACTCAAGGAGTGCCTGAACTGTGACACCAACTTTCACAAGACCTCGTTCTTCCAAAATATGGTGAGGCAAACAGAGTCTTTCCTGGAAAAGAAAAGAAAAACAGATATCTGAGCATCCAGTAGTGCTATACAATAATAAAACTTAAACATATTTTCTATAAACTTCAAGTAAAAAATACAATTCTATGTTTTCTCTAATAATACAGCAAAGGTTTCTAAAGGAACCTCTGTCATTCACTAGTCAACCAGTATTGTTCAGTTTCCCTAAAACATTTGCTCTGGTAAAAACAACAATGCGTTCTTGAATATCAAATATTATCCCTGACTACTTGACTGATCTTGTCATGTTATATCTTAGTTAATACCTTCTGTGAACTCTTATTTTTCCAACTTTTCTCAAGCCAGTGGCCTTCACTGGCCTTCACTGATTTAATATTTCCAAGGATCCATCATCATTTTCTCTCTTCTACATTCTACATTTTACATTCTTTTCATTATACATTTTTTCCTTAGCATTTTCATGTATCTCTTCAACTCTGATGACCTCCAAGTTTTTATTTCCTCTCAAGATCTATTAAACGAATGCCAATAGGACATAGCCAAATGGATGTCTTACAGACCTATCAAAATAAATGTGTTCACAGTAGAACTCTTCTTCACTAAATAAGCTAAATCTTTTGACTGTAGAAATCATAATTGCCTTCTCTTTTTGTTACTTCTATTACTCATTTACAAATATTAATGATGATTGCTTAACAGTTCTTCAAAACTATCTTCTGATGAGGGTAAAGAGGGAGAATGCAGTCAAGAATCCATTGTAGCTGGGCAAGAGTGGCTCATGCCTATAATCCTAGCTACTCAGGAGGCTGAGATCTGGGGGGGGGGGGGGTTGGTTCAAAGTCTGCCCAGGCAGAAAAGTCAGTGAAACTCTTATCTCCAATTAACTACAAAAAGCCAGAAGTGGTGCTGTGCTCAAGTGGTAGAGCACTAGCCTTGAGCACAAAATCTTAGGACAGGACCCAAGCCCAGAGTTCAAACCCCAGACCAGCAAAAAAAGGAGGAGGGGATTTATTGTATATACCATAAAATTAAGAAAAGTAAGGAAAGGAGTTGGTCAAAAGGGAGTTATAATGTTTAAAGGGGTGACAATGATCAAGATGCATTGTATTCATAAAATGTTTTGTTATGTGGCATCTCTTTTGTACAACTGAAGATAATTTTAAACATTTAAAGAAAAGTATCATCTCCACTTTCAAGATCCAGGACAATTCATTGCTGAATTCTACCACATCCTTAAAGAACTAACACAAATTGAAGCGATGGGTGGGGATGGGATAAATGAGGGAGAATGTTCAAAGCAGTGACACTGATCATAAACTAACATGTTGAATTAAAACCATTTTATACAACTACATACAGATAATAAAAAATACTTCTCAAACTATACTATAAAACAGAAAGAAAAGCAATGCTACCAATTTCATTCTAAAAATCCAATATTACTCTGACACTAAATATGGAAAGGAGAAATGGAAAAAACAATGATAGACAAATTTCTCTGATAAACACTGACACAAAAATTCTCAGTATGATACTTGCAAACAGAATTCAATACTACATAAAAAGATAATAGTATCAGGCATAAAATTAATTTCACTCCATATAGGCAAGTATGGTTCAACATATGCAAATGAATATACATTGTACAGCACATAAATAGGAAAAAAAGAAAAACCACTTGATTTTTTATCAAATACAGGAAAATTCTTGAAAAACTCAACATTTATTATTTCATAATAAAAACTTTGATGAAAATGAGGAATAGAAGTAATAACAACGTAATAAAGGCTATACAAAACAATATCCAATGTCATATTGAATAGGGAAAAACTGAAACCATTTCCTCTAATGGCAGGAATGAGGCTGCATTGTACATGCTCTCAACTGTTTTTAATATGATTCTTGAATTTTTAGCTAGAGCACTGAGGCAAGAAAAAAAATTAAACTAAAACAAAAAGAAAGGAAGAAGTAAATTTACCCTACTTATAGATGACATGATCTGATATTTAAAATACCTAAAAGACTCCCCCAGAAAATTCGTTTTTTTATGGTGAAAATACTGTACAGAAGGGTTACAATTACATGGGCAAGATAATGAGTACATTTCTTATCAAGCATTGTAGCCTCCTCCTTTATTTCCCCTTCCCATCCTCCCTCCCCCCCCCCCCCCAGCGTCCCCACCTAATCCTCCCCCCCCCCCAGAAAATTCTGAAACCTGAACACTGGCCAAATGATAGGATACAAAATTAGTATCTAAAACCAGTGAAGTTTGTGGACCAATAAAGAATAACCTAAGAATAAAATCAGAAGAACAATTTCATACAAAATAGCCTCAAACAAATCATTTAAATAGGGATACAGGTGGACTCATTGAGATATACAAGTCGTTATGTTGAAAAACGAACTTTACAACTTTGGTTGGGGGGGCAGAGGATTGGGTAGGAGGGACGGGGAGGGGGGATGGGAAGGGGAAACAAAGGAGGAGGCAACAATGCTTGATAAGAAATGTACTCATTATCATGCCCATGTAATTGTCACCCCTCTGTGCAGTATTTTCACAATAAAAATAAAAGAAATCCAGCAAATCATCATAAAAAAAATTTTAAAAATAAAAAATAGCCTAAAAAATTACTAAGGATTAAACCTCATTACTCAGGTGAAAGGCCACTACAATAAAAGTTGAAAAATTTTAAAGAAAAAATTTTAAGATACTAAAACATGGAAAGACTGTGCTCATGGATCAGCTGATTTAATATTGTGAAAATAGTTAAATGACTGAAACTAATCTACATATATAAAGCAATCTCCAAAAATCTTCACTTTTTTTATATTTAACAGTTTTTATTTTTTTCTATTTTTTATTGTGAAAATACCACACAGAGGGGTTACAATTATATGGACAAGGTAATGAGTACATTTCTTATCAAGCATTGTTGCCTCCTCCTTTGTTTCCCCTTCCCATCCTTTGCCATCTCCCCCCTCCACCCCCTACCTCCCAACCCTGCTCGGCCAAAGTTGTAAAGTTCGTTTTTCAGCATAATGACTTGTACATCTCATTGTTGCAATGGGTCCACCTGTATCCCTATATAAACGGTTTGTTTTTGCCCTTCCCCTCCACAAATTATACCAACATCAAACACAATGAAAGCAGGAGTTATACCATGGGGGAGGGACATACAAAGCAACAAAGAAATCATCTGATAAATATGTTAGAAACAATAGCAAGAAAGAAAAATAACAATTGAATACTTATCTTGGGGTTCATTTCACCTAACATCAACTTATCTGACAGTTTCTGTTTGTCTCAGATATATACTAGTTACTGCAAATAAGGGAAACCATGGGACCTATGTTTCTTTGGGCCTGGCTTACTTCACTCAATATAATTTGTTCCAAGTCTTTCCATTTCCTAACAAATGGGGAGATGTCATTCTTTCTGATAGAGGCACAGAATTCCATTGTGTAAATATACCACATTTTCTTGATCCATTCATCTACTGAGGGGCATCTAGGTTGGTTCCAGATCTTAGCTATGGTAAATAATGCTGCAATAAACATAGTTGTGCTGGTAGCTTTAGTGTGGCCTTGTTTGTGATCATTTGGGTAAATGCCCAAAAGTAGGATTGCTGGGTCATAGGGGAGCTCTCTGTGGACTCTTTTGAGGAACCTCCATACTACTTTCCAAAGTGGTTGAACAAGTTTACCTTCCTACCAACAATGCAGTAGGGTTCCCTTCTGTCCACATCCCCTTTATCATCTGTTGTTATTAGAGTTCTTGATTTTTGCTATTCTAACTGGGGTGAGGTGGTATCTCAATATTGTTTTGATTTGCATTGCTTTTAGGGCTAGAGAGGTTCAGCATTTCTTCATGTTTCTATTGGCCATCCTTCTTTCCTCTTCAGAGAAGTTTCTCTTTAAGACTTTAGCCCACTTATTTATTGGGCAGTTGTTTCTTTGAGGATTTGTTGTTAGGAGATTTGATTTTTTGACTTCCAGGTATATTTTAGATATGAGACCCTTGTCCGTTGTATGGTTAATGAAGGTCTTCTCCCAATCCGTGGGCTTTCTATTGATATTTCTAGCTATGGCCTTTGCCATGTAGAAGCTCTGCAATTTCATGCAATCCCATTTGTCAAACCTTTTTTTGATTTCTTGTGCTTCTGGGTCTCTATTAAGAAAATTTCAACCTGTGCCAGAGACCTAGGGTTTCTCCCATTCCATCCTGTAATGTTTTCAGAATGTCTGCTTTGACTCCAAGGTCTTTGATCCATTTGGAGTTGATTCTGGTGAGGGTGATATATAAGGATGTAGCTTTAGTTTTCTACAAGTGATTAACCAGTTTTGCCAGTACCATTTACTGAAGAGGCTGTCTTTCTGCCATTCTATTTTTTTAGCTCCCTTATCGAAGATTATATGGCTATATGTCTGTAGGTTCATTTCTGGGTTTTCAATTCTATTCCATTGGTCCTGAGGTCCGTTCTTGTGCCAGTACCAAGATGTTTGATTACTATGGCTTTGTAGTAGAGTTTGAAATTTGGTATTGATATTCCTCTAGCACTGTTCTTTCTGTTAAGGATCATTTTTTCTATTCAGGATCTTTTATGAAAGAGAAAGTTCACTACTGAACTCATTCTATGAAGCCATCATAACCCTCACCCCCAAACCAGGCAGGGACTCATCAAGGAAAGAGAACTATAGACGACCCATTTCTTTGATGAACATTGGTGCACAACTTCTCAACAAAATTTTGGCCAATTGACTTCAACAATTCCTCCAAAAAATCATACACCACGATCAAACCCGATTCATTTCAGGGATGCAAAGCTGGTTCAATATATGCAAATCAATTACTATAATTCATCACATCAACAAGAGCAAGGATAAAAACCACATGGCTATCTCAATAGATGCAGAAAAGGCATTTGATAAGATCCAACACCCTTTATGATGAAGGTTCTGGAAAAACTAGGAATCCAGAGAACATTCCTCAATATAATAAAGGCTGTATATGACAAACCCACA